TCCTAATGAACAAGATTTTCAGACCCTATTTCAGGAGATTTGTGTTGGTTTTCTTTGATGATATCTTGTTGTATAATGGGTCAGATGAGGAACAATGTGAGCACTTGAGGATGGTCCTAGAGGTGTTGCAGGAGCAGCAACTGAGGGCAAAGTTGAAGAAATGTTATTTTGCACAGGTTAGTTTGGAGTACTTGGGACTTGTAGTTTCTTAGGAGGGTGTAACCCGCAAATCAGGCTATGATTAAGGCAATGCTTAGACTGCTACTGGTAAAGAATCTGAGCGAGCTAAGGGGATTTCTAGGGTTGATAAGATATTACAGGAGGTTTGTAAGGGGCTACAAAACAATCGCCTGGCCACTGACAGAACAATTGAAGAAGGATAACTTCTTGTGGGAGAATTGCATGACCACCATGTCGATCTTGGCCCTACCAGATTTTAGTCAGGTTTTTATAGTGGAGATGGACGCATCAAGGTATGGATTGGGAGCAGTACGCATGTAGAGCCACCAACTTATTGCTTACTTCCGCCAGGTGTTAAAAACTAGAGGTAAGTTGAAGTCAGTCTATGAGAGGGTGTTGATGACCATTGTACTAGTCATCCAAAAGTGACAACCTTACTTGTTGGGTTGACATTTCATTGTTAGGACGGACCAGCGGAGCCTAAAGTACCTGTTGGAATAGAGAATGGTGATAGAGGAGCACTAGAGGTGATTGTCAAAGTTATTGGGATATGACTTTGAAATTCAGTATATGCCAGGGATATCCAGAGAACAGGGCGGCATATGCCTTGTCCAGATGTATGGGGAGTTCCAGGAGATGGTGGTATAGATACCGCTGATGTTAGATTGGGAAGACATTAAGGAGGAAAGTGCATGGGATGAGGAGCTGGGGAGGATGAGGGAAAATTTATTAGAGGATAGGAATAGCCATTATGGCTATTCTCTAGAAGGGGAGAGGCTGTTGTGCCAAAGGTGATTTGTGATGTCGAGGACATCAGTACATATTCCACAACTACAACAGTAGTTCCATGGGAGAACTGTGGTTGGGGGTCACTCGGGGGTGCAGAAGACCTACATGAGACTGACCATGGAGTTGTATTGGAAAGGGACGCACAAAGATGTGTAGGAGTTGGTAGCCAGTTATGGGATATTTTAGAGGAATAAGTGTACGACAATGGCTCTTGAAAGACTACTTCAACCCCTTGCTCTGCCTGATCGGGTGTGGGAGGGGGCCTCTATGGATTTTATTGATGGGCTACCCTGATCTGAGGGGTTTATAATAATTCCGGTGATAGTGGATAGGCTGAGCAAGTATGCTCACTTCGTCCTCCTACGACATTCCTACACGACAGTGACAGTGGCAACAACTTTCATAAGAGAGGTAGTCTTACTGCATGGGTTCCAGAGTCTATTGTTTATGGGACAAGGTGTTCCTCAGCCATTTCTGGAGGGAGTACAACTTACCAACCCTAGACGGAAGTGGTTAATAAGAGCTTGGAGACCTACTTATGATGTTTTGTGTCAAAGACACCTTAGTTGTGGGCCAAGTGGCTAGCATGGGCTGAGTACTTGTACAACACTTCATATCATTCTGCTTCCTAGATGATCTTATTCAAGGTGTTGTACGGACGAGACTCACCTTACTTGGTGCATTTTGGGAAGAATAGCACTCCAGTTTTTTCAATAGAAGAGTACTTGGAGGAGAGGGATAGGGTGTTGGAAAAATTGAAAATTCATCTAGTGAGAGTGCAACAGATTATGAAGAAATGGGTGGATAAGCATAGGAGTAACATCCATTTTGAAGTTGGGGATAAGGTATTCTTGAAGTTTCACCCTTATAGGTAGGCAGAGGACAATAGCTAATAGAAGGAACGAGAAAATGACTCCACGATATTTTGGCCTTTATGAGATATCAGAGAAGATTGGAGCAGTAGCTTATTGCTTGAGATTACCCCCCACTGTTACCATACATATAAAATTCTATGTATCTCAGCTGAGAAGAGCTATTGGGGATCACACAACATGTTTAGAGTTGCTGGCCACACTGACTGAGGAGTTGGAAGTAGTTTTAGAACCACTAGAGCTACAGGGGGTATACCAGGGAGGAGGGATCAAAGAAGTGTTGATTAAATGGAGGGACCTTTCTAATTATGACGCTACATGGGAGTTGTACGAGAGGACACAACATCAATTTCCATCTTTTCACCTTGAGGATGAGATGATTCTTTGGGAGCGAGGTATTAATAGACAGGTCCAGGAGGGATCAGTCCAGTCGGCCCAACACTTGGGCCGACCTCTTGTTCATAGCAGGCTTGCGCCTCCCTCATGTGGGGCCCAATTCTTAAAGAGAGAGAGAGAGAGAGAGAGAGAGAGAGAGAGAGAGAGAGAGAGATGTGATACCAAATGCAAGGAGCTTTGTAAGAAATTAAAATTGAGTTGGCAAAGAAATTACAACTAATAACTTATGGCGATAGCAAGAAAATCATTAAAATTTCGTAGTTATCAACTAGCTTAGGCGAAGAAGTATGTAGATTAGCCAAAACTTTCAGACAATCAAAAATAGTAGCAACACTAAAAGCTATTACAACAATCCTCCATTTAATAACGAGAAGTTCACCTTGGGGAAATACTCACTCAACTATACTAGGCTTTGCGAGAGAAGAATTTCAGCACACCATACGATGCCACGAGGAAGGTTGTGATGCCAAGGGTCTTGAGCCACGGAGAGGTCGACGATGACGTGGAGGGCGTGAATGCTGGACTTTCAAGACTCCAAGTGTGCTTTGCAAATTTCCGGTCGTAGATGCTCGCAAGGATTGGTACGACTCTTTCCAAGTACTATTCTACGGTGGTTTCGTCTTCAAATCCTATGTCGAAGCAAGGTGACCGTAGAATGTTGATAAACGGCCAAGGCATTAAACTAGCATTTAATGGGAAATCTCCATGAGGGGGCCGGCGGCATGCTTGGAGGAGGAGAGGGAAATTAAGGGGAAGGGGTTTCTAAATTAGGATGATGATGTGGAGCATTCTATCATGCCTCCGAAATAGACTAAATTGAAATTGAAATTGGTCATCAAAACTTTCCTAAATGGGGATTCCAAATTTGGAAAGAATTGAAAATTTGAAAATTTCGAATTTCAAATTTAGAATTTGATTGGGAGGGGGTCGGGTGGGTGATGAGGGATGACCGGTGAAGTGGCCGGCCGTGACTTGGGTGATGGCCGGCGGCAAGCTTCCAAGGCCGGCGGCAAGCTTCCAAGGTCGGCGGCAATAAGGGACTAGGGGTGGAATTCCGTGGTGGTGGAGGTGGAGAAGATGATGGTAAAGAGTAGGAACAAGAAGATAACTAAATTAACCACGAGTTGCGGACTCTTCCAACAACTGGTGGGCCTTGCGCTTTGCTCTCCTTGAGCTCTCTCTCTCTTTCTCTTCACGCTCTCATGCAAGAAGAAGAAAAGAAGCACAAACTAGATTTTCATTCAAATATTCATTTCCTATTACAAGAGAAAAGGCCCATATATATAGGTCTCAAGTAACATGAAGAAATAAAGACTAAATTGCCCTCAGGGCCCCAACATGACTCGACTCAACTCAACATAAGGGTACAAAAGGAATACATAAAATAAAATGCATAATAACTAAAAATATAAGCTCTGAATCGTGGCCGTCGATCTGTGATGCTTCCGGCAATACACCTGTTTGAACCTTGGATCGATGTCCTCATCAGAGAGAGAGAGAGATTAGGATGCAAAATTTGAATTAGGAGGGCTATTTAGTCTTTTTTGAGGAGTTATTTTGTGTGCTTTATGTAGGAGGTTGGAATTAGGGTTAGGGTTATCTTGATTGTTTGCTGAAATTTTGTGTTTTCTTTGGTGTTCTTAGGCTCTAGTGACATTTAGAGAGTTGGAAGAGAAAGATCCTCCTCTCGAATAGAGGATCAATTATATATTGTTATTTTCTTCCTGTTCTCATTAATTTCTACCATCTATTTGCTGTCTTTCCTGTGATTGATTGAAGGTTTGTGGTGAAGTCTCGGTGAAATTCAGATTTCTTGTAAGATTGCTTGAGATCTACAAGGGTTTCCTATCATAGATATATGGCAACATGGTTAAAAGTTCAGAATGATTTGTGGAGGTTTAACACTTCATGAACATTTAGTTTAAACAAATAAAAGATGAGGACTTAGAAAGCTGTCCCCATATACTTAGAATATGTCTAATGATGATGATGTCACGATACTGTGGTCCTAGGTATTTTCATGGAGATAAATGAATCTCTTATTTAATGTAACTAAGTAAAGGTTTCGTTTATGGTAAATGATATAGTGATAGTATTACAAACACATTTCTTGTACTAATTAGCTAATATCAGACATCTGATAAGCTTTGAAGTTTGAACGAGCCTGCAGTTGGATTTGTTAAAGTCCCATCATTTTCTGTTATTAATGCTAGTAGGAGATGTGTTGAGTATTTAGGGTACCCGAACATGTGATGCTAATATGTGAATATTTGCTATTAAGGCTTATCCTGGCTTACACTGGCTGGTTTAGATAAACCTTAAACCCTAACCCAACTTCTATATCTCGAATTTAATCCTTGTTACTGGGCTTGGATGGCTTTGCTCTGATAATATTGGATTTATTTTGATTGAGATTACAGTTGCGCTCTCTCAATTCAAATGATAGCTCTAGTTTAATTTTACGGTAGAAGTAACCTGAAAAAGTACATTATTTTAATTTTACTTGCATCCTACGGTTTTCATCTTAAAACATACATTAATATTGAAATATTATCTTTTGTCTTGCCTTCTGTTATTTAATTTTTAATATTTACTTGAGGCACTTTACCTACACGTTTTATTTTTATTTGTTGCTCAGAATTCTTAAAAATTACCAGAAAGTGCGTATGATTTATGTAGATTATAAGCTTTATCTCCATTAAAGATTATCTCATATGCTTGAAAATTTCAAAAACCTAATTGTTTGCACTCTACATATTTCAGGTATATCAAAGATCTACTTCTTAATCCTCCAACTTATGAAATTGCATCTGCAATTCAAGGTGAGCTTTTTTTGATATATTTTTAAGATTGAAGTACTAATTTAATCTTAGATTTGAAATAATAATTTTACCTATTGCATACATCTTGTATGTTTATCGTGGATAAATATGTGATAATTTACCTGAATGCAAAATTTATTCTGAGAATGCTCTTAGATCAACGCCACTGATCTCACTGTTGGACTTCAACCCTTTTCTTTTTGAACTTCTGTCCTCTCTACTGCAACCTTATAGATCTATGAGGTTTTTATTGCTACCTCACCAATTTAAGGAGCTATTTTAATTATTTAGTAGTTATTTCTATTTCCTGATTTTGTATGTTCTCTATTAGAAGCTTTCCTAGGATTGTATAAATTCTGTACGCGTTTAAGTGAATCTTACACCACAATTCCGCAATTCTTTTCATAGTATCAAAACTATAGAAAAGTTTTTAATAAATTTTTCTCTTTTTTGAGACATAATCCTTCTAAGTTTTTTTCTTTTTCTGCTCTTGTGAACACAATGTTGCTTCCATCTCCAAGGACAATAACTACAATATAACCAAAGTGTCAAGTTCTCCAAGGACAATAACTACAATTGTTGACCTTCATGTAAAAACAAAAAAAAAAAAAAAAAGCATCGCATACATACCTTACCCGTCGGATCCATGATTTTTGTGAAAATCCTGCCGAAATCCCGTCAAAATCACTGTATATGCGGCACCGTTCGCGTCTGTTCCCGCAAATCCTTCGATAAGGCCTCGATCGTTGCCCTTTGAGGTCGTTAAATACCAATGGAAAGGAAGCCTTCGGGACGATTTCCCCACTCGATCGCAGAAGCTCCCAAACCTTCGCTACTTCTCTCTCTGCCCTCCCACAGACGTGAATCCTCTGCTCTCGACTCCAAGCCACAACCGAAGCTCTCCGGATACCTCTGTTCCTCCCACTTTCGCCTCTCCCACTGCCGAGCTCCACGTACTCAATCGCCTACGACCACTCAGCCCACGCAAGCTCCTCGACCTCCAACCTCCTTCCCTGTACCGAAGTCACTGCCGATCTCCTATCAGAACTCCACCGAAGCCTCATCCTGTCAACCTCACTCCATCTGCCCCTTGCCCGACCAATCGGTCGTCCCGATCTAGAGAAAGAGAGAGAGGGAAAGGGAAGAGAATCCGACCTACCTCACGCTCGGCTTCGCTCCAACTCCGACTTTCCCTCCTATCGGATCGGTCCATTCCGATCAGAAGTAGCAACCAGAGCTCGCTGTGAAGGTAATTTTCTCCCTTACATTCGCTTCTTCGGCCAAATCCCGTGGATCTGCTGAGTCGAATGAGGGAAACGAGAGATTTATTCCTCCGTGAGGCATGGGATAATCAAACAGAATTTACCATAGATCCTGTACAAACTTTGCATGAATCTAATTAACTTAATTATAATTAATTTCACTTAGTTATATTTAATTACTAATAGTGATTAATTATGATTAATTGAAATCACTTATAATTCCTAAATTAGATTCTTGCTCCCGAAGTTAGCGGTGGATCGGAAAACCGCCCATGCACGCCTTTGTTGTGCGTGGTGGGATGGGACCCCGGTGCGACGCCTACAACGAGGCGGGCAATCACCTCAAAGCCTTATTTCAATGTTCGTGGCGGACCGAAAAATCGCCCATGCACTCCTTTGTTGCGCATGGCGTGATGGGATCCCGGTGCGACACCTACGACGAGGCGTGGTCACTCATAAGTACCCCCGAGCGGGAAAAAAATTGTTTTTTTTTTAAATACTTTTAAAACCCCATGCACGCCATTGTTGGTGTGGTGGATGAAAAACAAAAAAATACCACCGCGATGTCTCACATACACCAACTGTGCACGTCTTTGTTGACGTGGCAGGTAGGCAGCCTCTTGGTTTTTCCCCTAAACGGAGGAGACGCCGGAAGGCTGCTGAAATTTGGATCGAAAATACAAGGACTTTGAACAATGTTTGGACAATAACATCAACTCAAATTTGAACTCAAATGACAAAGAACTTAGTGCAAAGAACTTGAACCGAACAAAGATACATAAGACTTGGATAGAGCTTGCACTGAGCATTAAATGAACTAAATCATGCCCAAACCGATCATAAAATAAATTCGAGTCATCAAATAATGAATAAGTAAATGCTAAGTGAACAACTCACTTACGGATCAATCAAGCCAGTGGATATATCCATCTCCTTCAAGAAGAAGAATCATATGCGCAATAAGCGCGATAAGCTTCTTGCAAATAGAGACCAAATTGAAGGAATACCGATGAATATTACATAAGCAGATATGATTTTCTCTTCTTCATAGAGGGACTTGATATGTAATAATGATGAGACATGCCCAAATACATTCAAGTGAAGTATTGAAGCACAAGCAAGTACATCAAACTTCTACAAGCAAAGAAGACTAATACACTATGAACACAATGATCTGAAGAATATGCAATGAATACTAGGGGTATTCATACAGTCAACAATAGCTTAATTATAGATCTAAGATACACTTAGCAACATACACATAAACGACAACAAATGATAGATGATGGAGATCATAACCACCTAGGGGAAGACAAGTACACGGATCCCTTGTAAGCAAAAGATGATTGATCAACAACCAGCTGGGCAATGAATTGCAAATGCCTCCAAGGTTGTGGAAGACCCGTTACATGTACCATGTGTTATCCATAGGCGAACAATGGATGATCCATCACAAATCAAATGTAAATATCTATGAGATTTTGGGGAAGACCGGTTGCATTCTCAGTGTATCAACCACAAGCAAAATATCAAAGGACAACAACAAGTACAAGCTCCTACAAGTCACTGTAGGAAACTCGTCATACACATAATATACTATCTACTAACAGATATGGAAGAACTACAGTAAATTCAAGTGTTCATGTATTTAAAGCAGGAGATTCGTTAGTGCATATCAATTCGCCTGCTGAAAGCAACAAATGATGCACGACAGTCTACCTGTACGTAGCAACGAACCACTCAATTCAGAAGCTGCTACGCCACGCCACCGGATCTGCAACATTCGTACAAGCAGACAGAAGGCATCTACGAACTACAATGCCGCACCACCGGATCCGCAACTTCTATGTAAGCGGACAGAAGGCGTCTACAAATACTTTCAAAGTACCCCCGCACGTGCACCGTAGCTTGTATACACATAGGTACACCAAAAGGGGTAAAAGCAATTAAGAACCAGCATGGGACCCGGCGAGCATGTTATTGGTACACGTTTAGTCTAGGGATGCTGCGCGGGTTATTGAATTTGAACTCGATCCTCCTAAACAGGTAAAAAGGAGTCGATAGGGTTTAATTATAAAATGCCCCCAAACACCCGCACGGGCCCCGGCGAGCATGTTATTGGTACACACGTGACGTCTAGGGATGCTGCGCGGATTAATAAGTGAATTCAAGTTCGAACCCGATCCTTCTATACGGGTCAATAGAAGTTGACAGGGTTCGAACAATCAAACAAGTATACGGTAATGGTGACCAGTATATTTGTTTTGATACATTCAGATTGAGCCTTCAAAGGTCTATAACAATACAAATTCACTAATATGGGCATAAAACATATGAAATATGATCATCTATCGATAATTCGATAGAGTCGATAAGATTCAATCAATAAAAGAGAAATTACCCTGAACACCCCGATGATGGCCGTGTTGAATGTCTATTTCAACCGGAGAGGTTCACAAATATTTTCAAATACCTCTCAAAAGTCCATTCAAAATCCAAATTTCACAAATCCTAAAATCCAAATATTTAAAATTGAAATAATCCATCCATTTAATTAAAGCAAAATCCATCCACCCTCCGCAACAGTTTGCTGGGATGGATAAATTGAAATTTACTTTAGCTCACATAGAGCCAAATGCCTAGTCGAAAATATCACTAAGATCCATTCTCAAACAATCTCCTGCTAGTAAGGATTCTACGTATCTGATCGACGATTAGCCTTAATCGAAAGTTCTATCTCGTGATTGGGAGGGGTAATTAACTATAGGGGCTTGCGCCTATAGGAAACCAGAACTCAGATCATAAAGTTCTCACAAATGAGGGCAAAATCTCTGGGGAGTGTCTTATCTACAAGCCCATCTTTCTTCCAAAATTTACCCCGGAACTTATTCCGTTAAAACTCCCTCGCAAGATAAAAAGCACAATCAAATGTGCGAGCGGAGGCCGGGGCCGAATTTTCGGAGCCCACAACAATATAACCAAAGGGTCTCATTTGTAAATTTTTTGGTTATATCCTAGCTATGAGACTCTATATTTATGAAGTGACACGTGCATATTCTTAGATTTATCAAAGGAAATATGAGATACAGTTAAACAATTGTATTTTAAAGGCCATAATGTTGCACATATATAAAAAGTCAAGACCAATATCTCATCTCATCCAAACTAATTTTTATACACCTAAATTATTTAATAACTTATTATCTTGTCAAACGCCAATTAAAGATTCTAAGTGTAGTGTTATGTTTTATCTTTTGTGTTGCATCATTCAGAAACAGGAATAATTAGACTTGCTAATGAGATGACATCCGCCTTATTGAGGAATCTAATGATCATGAAAGTTCTATAAAACCCTCTATATTATCACCTCGTTCATAAACTCTTAAATTCAATAAAACAAGATATTGCTTCTTCACTTGTGTCTTTTTCATTCTTTTTTTATTCTCAAAATTTGGTCATTCATCATTCAAAGAAGTCATTATTAAAGAATTTTATTATGATGTTTATAAAGCGGCAAAACATAAATGTACCATTTTCTCATAAGTGACATAAGAATCCTGTTGACCTCAATACTAGGGGTTTGAGTCGATTGCGCACGGTAAGTTTAAAAGTGAAAGGGCACGACATTGCATGAAACTCACTGACGCATGTTGACCAAAAATCTAAATCAGCGAAATAGCATCCGTTCATGAAATGGATAGTGCGAGGGCATTTCGGGCTGTTGAAACATCTAAGATCGACAATTATATTGGTTGGGGTTAAAATTTCGCGTGTGCGGAATCAACGTAACATGCGTGAATGACGATGATTTGACGAGCGGATCGAGCCACGATAAGTATTTATCATTAATTTTAAAGTAATGTTAATTTTTACATTTAAATTTAATTTAACAAAAAAATTGAAATCTAATTAAACCTAACCCTTATTCCCCTCACATAAATACACTTGTACCCTCACTACCTCATTCCACTCTCCAATCCAGCTGAGACTGACGCACGCTCCTCTCCCTAACGCTCACGCGACCCCCTCCTCCCTCCTCCACGCTTGGCCTCACACACGAAAGGAACCAAAGCCCCCTCTCCCTCTCGATTCGTTTATGCCAACCCAACCACCAGCCTCCTCAGTTAGCTGCCGTCGTCGCCAGCTACTCCCGCCTCCACCCTTCAGCCAGCCGGCCACCACTCTTCCTTTTCCCTTTCTTCTTCTTCCCCTTTCTTCCTGATCTTCTTTCTTCCTCTCTTCTTCTCCTCTTCCTCCAACTTCATCTTCTTCGTCAAAACTACAAAAACTCTAACACTAATCTCTCTCTCTCTCTCTCTCTCTCTCTCTCTCTCTCTCTCTCCCTATTTGTTAAATTCTGATATTCTCTGCACAAAATCTCTTCCCTACACCTCCTACACTTCCTCCATCAAAAACTCTAATTTTCTCTCTATACCTAGAGAGAGAACTCACTAACCATCATCATACCCCTCTCCCTAAACTCCTCTCTTTCCCTACATTTCTCTCTCCACCACTCTCTCTCTAAAAAGAGAACTTTTTTCCCCTCTCATTTCACTTTGTTTACAAGAAAGCAAAAAAAAAAAGTGAAAGGTAAGAAAGAAAGAAGAAAACTTGTGCTATGTGTTGCCTCATTGTCTCGCCTTCCTTGCCCTCACTACTGCGCACGCTGAGGTATAATTCGAACCTGATGCTAGTTTTATTTTATGAATTGTTGTGCATGTAAAACTAAGTACCTGTGACTGCCTTTCTTAGCAGGCTGAGAAACACTAACTTGCATGAGACTAAGTACCTATAACTGTTTTTCTTGTTAGGCGGGAAAACACTACCTTGCATGAGATTAGGTACCTGTGATTGCCTTTCTTGGTAGTGGGGAAACACTTTCTTACATGAAACTAAGTACCCGTGACTAACTTTCTTGGCAGGCGAGGAAACATTGACTTGCATGAGACTAAGTATCTGTGACACTTTTTCTTGGGAAGTAGGGGAATACTGTTGAGTATATGAAACAAAGTACGTGTGACTGTCATTCTTGGCAACGAAGAAACACAATGCTTTATAAACAGGTATATGAAGACCTGTGACTTCCTTTCTTGATAGGCAAGGATTGGAGATTTCAGCCATGGTGTCATCTGACATCGACCATGCACACTTTTCTTGGCATGGTGGGAAGGCTTAGCTCCACGATGCAACCTCGTACACTGGGACGATGTCGGAGTATTGCTAAAATTTACACCTAAAATTAAAAAAAAAAACATTGGGTTTTTGATGATCTAACCCTTAAGCCAACAAAAAATAAAATAATTCATGAACCCCTAAGTTGCAAACACTGAAAATTAAAAACAAAAAAAGAATTAAAAATCAAGCATACAATGAACTTGTAGGGGAAATGATTGCTCGCCAACAAGCACAAATCAAATTTCATTCTTAGCTCCTGGTTTACTTATGCATAGCCAAGTCCCTTTGCAACACACTCTTTGATCTAAAATGTGTAAAGCTGAAGTGAATTGAATAACTACATATTTATAACCTATTAATATTGATTCCCATGCGGGACCGTTGAGCCAAAATTCAAATGCAAAATAACAAGGGAAGATATGCATGTGAAAGACATGTTAAGGGGTAAAATATGAAAGTTTGTGGGTGATAATTAATCTAAAAATATAAAATTATTTATGCTCCTAGGACGGCACATTTATATTAATGGCTGCCATGTAGGATTCCTCTCGCATATCCACGATAATTATCATAATTAAATCATCGTTAAGGAAATAATACCATCAATCATATCACAAGTCACAAGCGTGCAAGTGCCATAGGTAGCGTACACGCCAACTATAAAAAGCAAAGGGACTCTTATTCTTGTGAATTGGTCGTACACCCCATAAATGCTTGTACACTGTTGCATGTCACGGGTTGCATGACTCTCAGTGATGTGTGCGAGACATGTCTAATCATCAAAAGAGATATCTCCCACATGTCTCATAATCATATAGTGCAATTGTACTTGCGACATACAAGTGCACTATATGAGCGCACTAAGTAGCATATACAGATACTGTTGATAATGCAAATGCACCAATGTTCATTCAAGCGTGTAATAGAATTGTGCAAGTGCATCGAGATTTATGCAAGCGTGTAATTCATGCAAGTGAAAATGCATTGCTCGGGTATACTATGCAACATACAAATGACTCATGCATGCATGTCAATTACATGCAAATATATCATGCATACACCAAATAACATACAAACGTATTGTGCTTGTACTATATACAACATGCAAACACATCATGCATGTACCACACAACATATAAAATTTTATGCAAGCACGTTAAGTAATGCGCAAATGTATATACAAATACTCAAGTACATATGCAAACATTTAAATGCATATGCAAGGATACAATTATGCAAATGCACACGTGAATGTGTATGTGAACATGCATATATGTCATAAACATCCATTGCGTCACGCACTGTGCAATGTGCAAAATGCATTATGTAAATGCACATGATTCGACATACAAATGCATTATTATACTAACGTGCAAATATATTATACGTTGTACAAAAGCTTTAAGTCACCACACAAATGCATTATGCAAAAGTGCACTGGAAATACACATATTCGCATGGGCCCCGACGAGCACAATAAATACATAAGCGAGACGTCTGAGGATGCTCCACTGACTAAAAAAGATTAAATGAAGTTTAAATTTATTTCTTTGAAAGTGTGTAAACATATTATGCAAATGCATTATCATTCACACACATAACTTAAAATTATATTTAAATCACCTGCATGTGCTCTGACAAGTGCGTTATACTCCTAAACTCTTGCATGAGAATGCCGCATGGGTAAAACGTGAACCTAAGTTCAAGTCCAATCCCTCCTCCTTGAATGAATCGGAGTTGACACTACTTGAACCTAAACAAGTTTACGGTCGTAGCATTGACTGGTGTATTTTGTTTTATATGTTCACTTTAGCTTCAATGCCTTCTATAAGAAAGATTCACTTAGTAAAACTGTACTTGTAACTTTTTGGAAAGCTTAAACCTTTGTCACTTTATTCAGTTCACCATTTCTATCTCCGTACCCTCTTACTAGCCTTGAGTAAACTGTGTAAAGTTGGCAACCACACTGACTGGACCAAATTTCAGGCAGTTTTTGGTGAATGCTTCGTTCCTCTGATACTTGCTGATTTCTCGGTTTGCCTTTTTTCCAAATTTGTTGAATCCTTTTGCAATATTTTTGCACTTATAATAACTTGTTTCAATTATGTTTGTTGGGTTGTTATGCCAATGTTAATTTACTGGGTGGTTTTACAGAGGCATGCAGGCGTATGCGTTGTTTAACATGCTCAATTCCTGAATTTACTTGTCTCTCGGCTGCAAAGGTTGTACTATTTATGCTTATTTTCAAAGAATGATGATCATCTTGTTTGCCCTTTGCTTTCGTATGAAAATTTTACCATATTATATTATTTATAAAACCACTAAACATTATTAAGTGGCCTTTAATCAGCTTTACATAGTTATAGTTTCATAAGTTATTTTGCTGATTTTCAACGAAACAGCATATTCTTACGGCTGATGATAATGTTTCCTTTATGTGCAATCAAATAATTTATATAATGCTTGATGGTGGCCATCCAGAACTTGTTTGGAATTTCAATTTATCATCCTAATTGCTGTCAAATTTCTTTGTTTTATGATGCTTTCGCTTATGAATTAGTTCATGAATGTGTTCTCCTAGAACTTAGATGCTATTTTCATTATTATCTAGGATTTTAGAATCATTGTCTTTTGTTTTCTATTTATTTTCTTATGAACGATATTGATGGACTTGTATCTTACTCTTCCTTTCTAGGTATTCTTTAGGGGTGTTTTTCCAATGCTTAAATATAGGAAAATCAGATTTCCTACTACTGAAATTTTTAGCCTGCTTCTTTACTGTTTTGGGACACTGCGATGATTTCCACTTCTATTGTGTGATTGAGGCAGCTTTGTGAGAGAGGTGGAAGCCCTCCTGCGTACCTCAACTTTTTCTCACAGTTTTCCTTCTTTTCTATTTTTAACTTTACTCGTTCCTTTTTCCACCACCATTGTTGAGCCAGCCAAAGTCATTGCAAAATATAGTAAGTCATCACTCTTCCTTGCAAACTCCATCATTTGCTATTAGAGCAGGTTTTGAGATCACGGGAAAAGCATCATTGGTATTAGAACAGATTTTGAGATCTTGGTGAAGAATTGCCTAATAACATTAGGAATCTCAAGACTTTATTCTGTCTTCTTCCTTCCCTGTTTTCTCTATGGAATAACAACCCGGAAACTCTACACCACAATCACAGACCTGAAAACTTCTACAAAGCTAATATGTGCTTGCCTGTAAAATTTCGTGAAACTCTGCCTTCTAAAGCATCTTTCTGTAACCGTCCTTCAAAATTGTAGATGTTCTTTCATCTGTATTTTTTTTGCCTGCTTGTTTTCACTGCTTCCTGCATTTTATTTTCCAGCGAGAAAAGAACAAAAAAGGATAAAAAGAAATATATATATTTTGCTATTGTTTTGAAGATCTTCTTTAATGTGTGATATGCTGACTCATCCATGAGATTCGTACTTGGATGCTGAGAATGCGAAACAGAGGGATTTGTGATTATGACATGAAGGTAGCCTACACGAATGAGTTACAGTCAATTGGGGCATAACTTGCCCATAAACTTAATAAATTTTTAATTTGAGCTTGGATTGAGTTTGTCGACTCAACTTGTTGGTTTGAGGTTGAATTGGCTTTTTTGATTTAGAATCTTAAGATTTTCATCTTAAAGAAGAAGGGCAGGCTTGTGGATTTATTACTCAAGGTTTAAAGAAACCCAATTGAGGGTCTCACGAATCTAATTTGCGGTATGCCCAATGATTGAAGTTTGGATGTTTGTTTGTGTTTGTGAAGCTTCTGTCATTTCCAACCCTAATTATGTTGATGGGAATTACAACACTTGGAAGTGTATTGAGAAGTTTAATGTTTATAATTTTGGGTGTTGTGTTGATGGACTTACAACCCTTAAAATGTATAGGAAAGCTTAATGTTTATAGTTTTGGGCATTGGTTTATATTTGTTGTTTAACCTTTCATTTGATTTCGTGATTAGAACATGCTACTCTATTTGTATAAGTGCTTTGGAGGATTAGGTCTTATAATTTTAAAATTTAAATTGTTTGAGCGTGGGACTTATACTTTGATATTGGAGTAGGCCCAATGGTGGGTTCTATGATCTTGCCTTTTAGGCAAGGATGCTTTAGTAGAATCAATGGTGGGAACTACAACCAAAGATTTTATGGTGGCATAGATGAGTTGATTGGGTTTACATGATTTGAGATTTGGATATTTTTTATTGAACTTTGTTTGAGATTTGAAGCTTAACAATTTTATGTTAGAGTTGATCCCACAACATTATTACTTTTATGAATAAGGGTGGCAAGAGTGTAGATTTTACATTTGTGCTTTTCTAAATACCTACAAGTAGGTCTTATAGTATTGCCCTTCAGGCAAGGTGACATGTGGATTGGGAATTGCAACCTAAGATTGTGGAGGGCTTATGAGAATCTTAATTGCAGAATTGATTGTTTGATTTGATTTATGTTGAATTGACTTTACTTTAGTTGATTTGTATCAAGCTTAACGATAACACACATTTTGTTAGTTTTTAAAGTTAAACTTCTATGATCAATGAATAAAATGAATAAACCAACATGCAATGGCAAAGAATTTCTAGGTAAAATGGAAGAAGCCGAAGTGCGCTTTCAAGGATAATTTACAAGGAAGCAAGAGTCATTTTGACGGAAGAGAACCCATAGTCATTATTTATAGCATCTTATGTGAAGTATGATAAATCTTGGAGAGTGGCAATTGGATTTCATAATAATTCCCTTGCCCCCTGCCCCCTGCCCCATGCCCCATGCCCCATGCCCCCCGATCCACTTTTTCTATATTAGGGCTCACATGGTCATGGTGGGGGATGGTTTCAATTAAGCCCCCATTGGCTTTGTCTTTGTGTTCCTTCTCCCTAATGGATAGCTTCTCTTGGCTCTGTGGTTTTCTTCCCCTGCTTTCGTTCCTTGCTTTTTGTTTACTCACCGCTTTTGGGTTGCACAAGTTAGCTCTCCCACTCCTTAGTTTACACATCACCCTCCTTGGATGCTCCTATAGTCATGGTTGTTTCTTTAACTCAGCCATCGTTAAGACCTTTTGTGTCGATTATCTTAGAGATTCCTTAGATGGCTGACATTTCATTCGATTACATGCCTTTTTCACTCGCATTTTTCATTATTTTGCTGTGTGGTTCTTCAAGCATGGGGTTGCATTCGTCTGCTCTTAGTCACTTCTTCGCTTTTATCAAGACTCTAATCCACCGAATCATAAAAAAACCTTCATCTTTTCAAGGTAAACCCACACTTATTTTCTCTGAGGAAGAGAACTTAGAGTTGGCTTGCACTCTTACTTTATCAATTGTTGGCTAATTTTTATTCGGCCATCCAGATGTCTATGTCATTCACAAATTTTTATCAGGCATGCACTTGGTAACTATTTAATTGGGCTCTTTGATCCTCATCACATCATTAAAAGGTTTTAATTTCAATGAAGATTACACCATGGTCTTTTCTAGATGAACATGCTATGTCAGTGGCTTTCCAATGTGTATGTTCAAGTGGTCTCCCCATTTCAACGCTTATGTGGAACCACACATCACTTCTATTTTGGTAGCCTTTCCTTCTATTATACTATTTCAATCTATCAACTTTATATTATTTAGGTTCTATCTTTGGCAAACTCTTACAATTGGATGCTACAATTGCTCATCTTTTGTGACCTTCTATGGCCAAAATTTTGGTTGAAATGGGTGTTATTTTGTAGTTGGAGGTGGCATGCAGTGACTCAGAGTCATGTGGGTATTAGCAGAAGGTAGTCTTTGAAGACTTCCTCCCATATCATTCATTCTAAAAAAATCTTTGGACACAATCTCTTTGCTTGATTCATTGCTCATCCAGGTCTATGGAACTCAAACACTTAGGTGCTAGAAGAGCATTTAAATGTGTAGACTCCTCACAATCAAATAATAGTTGTTGCTTCTTTATCATTAGCTTAGATTTGCACTCAGAATTTGAAACTTGTTGATGCTCGATCTTTGTAGCCTTCCTAATATGTTCATTATAATTTTAGTTAATTAGACATTGGAGCTTATCTCGTCGATCCTAGAAATCCCCCCTTTACCTCCTTTTAGTGAAAATAATGTTGAACATGATAGTCTACATCCCGAGAATTCTGATGGGAACATTATAAATGAAGATGCTTTAACGAATAGGAGATTTCAAATTTAATTTATTAGACGAGACCATAATAGAAAAAAGTATATCATCATTCCTTTAACTCTTTTGGAGGGACCAAAATGACCAACTATTTTGAGGGACCAATTTTGTCCCCCAGCTCCTTAAAATGGGACAATTTTGATCCTAACATCCAAACTAATGGTTGTTGGACTTAATACTGTTAAAATTTGGGATATTTAGTAATTTTTAATTAAACTATTTATTAGATATAATTTTCAAATAATTATAATGTTTCAAAAAAATTATATTAATTGTTTATTTAATAAGAGAAATTAATAATATTTTTAGTTATAGTTTTAAAATTTTTAGTCATATCTTAATTATCTAAACTTTTTTATATTAATTATCTAACTTAATTAGCTTAATTATCTAATTGTAGGGATATCAACTAACTTAATTATCTAATTACTATTATAAATATTATTATTTGAATAATTTTCTAACTATTATTTAGAATTTTAATTATACAATTAATTATTAAATTACTTTTTTCATTATTAGTTATCTAATTATTTTTTTAATTTATTAATCTATATTAATTAAATTACATAAATTAATTCTTAATTAATTATAGACGATTTGCTCCTCTTTCATTTCTTTCGCGTTCTTCATTGTTGTTAGACTTGCATAATTTGCGTGAGGTAGGGGTTTGAATTAGTCGTTATGTAGGCTCCGAAAAATTCCAATTTTAGGATGTGTGATCCCGGGGGAATTTTCAAAAGGCAGATTGGGTTTGTAGATAAGACACTACCCAGAGATTTTGCCCTCATTTGGTGAGGACTTTTTGATCTGAGTTCTGGTTTCTTATAGGCGCAAGCCCCTATAGTTAATTACCCCTAGAAAGTGGAGAAATAATTTATGAAAACAGGTGTCGAAGACCTGCGGCGCTGGTCGTAGCTTAGGTGTCGACCTGGATGGTTTTTTAATTTGTAAGACCCCGGGCCGTCGCATCTTTAGATCCGGCGGGATGGTTCAAATTGAAGACGCTACGCAGTCGATCTTGAGATCTGGGT